CAAGAAAATATCCATCAGTATTCTAGTGTTAATAAGGCAATGGTCAGAAAGTTCTGATGGAGGCAATATATTAAAGTGCTGAATTCTGTGGTATAAATGACTAGACGCCAACATATAATCAACTGTACTAGAGCCATTAACATTATGAAAAGTAAAATAGCCACAAGAGTCTCCAAGAAATCTTCCATTAAGTATGGATAATCCACAAGTTTTGCATATGGTATTTAACAATTGCCATGCAAATTTGATTTTGTATCAAGTTGGTAACATTTACATGATATTCCACTTTCATATATGTTCTTAGGTAAAGGACAATCAGAAAAGGTGTCAGTTATTGTATCATGTTTTATATAATCTTGAAGCCCTCCTGTCCTAGCATTAAAATCTCCACATATTAATACTTCACCTTTGCATCTAAATCTTGCAATTTCGTTTTCTGCAAAAATTTCCTCTGATTTAGTTTTTGTTACATAGGGTTTGATAAAACAAAAGCATAAGTAGTGTGTTTTAATTTCTTGACTCTGATTTGAGATTTTTAAGTTGGTTTCAATCCATATGCTATTTTTACTTTGATATACCTTTCTGAAATATTTATAAATAGTAGGTTTAATGTACATGTGTAGTGAAGGTCTGCCTTTTTCTTTGAAACGTTTTTGAGTTGAGCACAATTAGAGATTACAGAGATCACCTCAATGTGGTCTTCAAGTAACGCAAAGTCCCACACTAAACTAATAATCTAGTAGTGTGCATCCTTATATGCAACATTTATGCAATTTTGGTCTGATAGGGCTTGCGGTTACTTGGGAATGGACTTATCTAAATACTTTAGTCACTCATCCAGAAATGTAAGTCAATTCCAGCATCTGGTCATCTCAGACAGTGTTCATCTCTTGATGCATCATCCATACAAGTTTGGTTCAGATAGGTCTTATAGTTTCTTGGTAATATACCTGCTCAAAAACCTTCAACCTAATCACTCATCTGGTAAATATAGGTCATATCCAGCATCTGAAGCAAGTCTGGTAGTGTGCATCCTTAGATGTGCAAGTTTGGTCAATGTAAGGCTTATAGTTACTTGGAAATAAGATCTGCTCTAAAAACTTTTGCCTGGTCACTCATCCGAAAAATGTAGGTCAGTTCAAGCATCCGAAGCAAGCCTGGTAGTGTGCATCCTTAGATGTATTATCCATGCAAGTATGATCAACAAAGGGCTTAAAGTTACTTTGAAATGAGACCTTGTCCAAAAACTTTAACCTGCTTCAAAAACATTAACCTGGTCCTTTTTTTAGCTGAAATTGCAGCATCTGAAACTTTGACTGGTACAATGAAACATACGAGAAGCATCCTCAATGCATCTCTGATTAATATAGGGCATAGAATTACTTGAAAAGAAATCTGCTCCAAAAACTTTCACCTGGGATGCCAAAGCGGCTAAGCCAGGGGTATTACATAAGCTCCCCCTCCCCCCAACTTTGTTTAGGTGAGCCAAAAACTGTATCCTGTTGCTGTAAAGAAATTATTTGTAATATTTAAATAAGTAGGTGGTAACCATGGATACATATGAAATAAATTTTTGATGCAGAAAAAAGCTAAATATTAGATAATGTTAAGTGTAACAAGACTAAACCCAATCATCAAAAGTAGAGAAACAATAATAAGAGGTCCAAGGGCCACACCACTCACTTTGGCTAGGAAATTTTAAAAAAGCAGAAATCAGTTCAGTATTGAAAAGTTTAAATATAAATGTGGTCCTAACATTTGATTTTCTATTGAGGCCTTGCCCTACCTCCAGGGGCATGATTAGAACACATTTGAAACTACTTTAACTGAAAATGCTTCTGAATAAATAAAACTGGCTTTGATGTTTGATGATCCCTGGGGTCATAATTTGAACAAACCTGAATCTACACTACCTGAGGATCCTTCCATATAACAAGAGGCCCAAGGGCCTTGAATCACTCCTCTGATAAACTGTACAACCTATCACTTCTATTTGAAGCCTTTAAGTATCCTGTATACTTAGATAAAGCCTTGGAATTCCAAACATAGGTCATCATGACCTACATTTTAGATGAAACACTCTGAGAAGCAAAGAAGATTCTAAGCCAATTAGTACCTGAGAGTAGGTCATGGTGACCTACTTATCATTGTCATTCTCTGAGGACCCAAGATGCATCAACTAACTAAGTTTTTTTTAAACAATATTTTATTCGCAGATGTAAGAGTGAATAGGATTGGGCAGCAGCCTCAGCCTATTTTAGCCCTCTCCCTACTAACAAAGTTTGATGATTCTAAGCCAATTAATACCTAAAATATTTAATTTATTTATCCAAATACAACATAAGATAAGTGAAAGTTCCACATTTATTTACAATACTGCTAAAAACATTCTACAATATTTGCAGCTTATACAAAGATAAACAGAGTCAATCTCCCAGCATCAGAACCAAATACTAGTTACATAACTGTAAACAGATGTATACTCTGAGAATCCTGCAGGCTGAGGGCAACTTGCCTACATGAACACATGCTCACTAGCACCTGTATGATGACGGCTGAGGGCAAGAAATGCTTGCCTATATATGAGGCATGTTAACATGCGCCTGAATAGATTAGGAATAGAGTACACAACTGGAGAGTCTTAATCTTGGTAAGAAATGCTCACCAAAAATAGACCACATGCTCCCACTCATACAAGAAGCACCTGATCTCATTGCTGAGTGATTAACTTCCCACAGTTGGGAGAAAGTAATGAGATATATATAAGTTTATCATTACGTAATTGCCAAAACATACTCATGAACCCTTTTATGTCTAGAACCATCAATAATTGGAAGGTGGAAGAGGTGGTGGTGGTTATTGAACTGGAAAAAGTAAACAAAAACACTGCAGGCACGCTAACTTTGGCTAATAATTGATTCCTGATTGGTTAATTTTATCACTTGGTTTGCATGAGGTTCATAGGGGGTACTCTATTATATACCGATTAATAATGTGAATTTGGAAAATAAACACTGATTATAAACATAATCAATATTTATAACCATAAAATTTCGAAACTAGGTCACAGTGACCTACTTTTCAGATGACATACTTTGAGGACCCAAGATGCATCAACTGACAAAGTTTGATGATTCTAAGCCAATTAGTACCTGATATATTTAAATATAACCATAAAATTTCAAAAATAAGTCACAGTGACCTCCTTTTCAGTCAACTAACTCTGCAGACCCAAGATACATCAACTGACAAAGTTTGGTGATTCTAAGCCAATTAGTACCTAAAAATATTTAAATAAAGCAATAAAATTTCAAAAGTAGGTCACGGTGACCTACATTTTAGTCAACTTAATCCGAGGACCCAAGATGCATCAACTGACAAAATTAGATGATTCTAAGCCAATTAGTACCAGAAATATTTCATTATAGCCATATAAATTGAAAAGTAGGTCAGGTGACTTTTCAGTCATCGTACTCCGAGGACCCAAGATGCATCAACTGACAAGCAAGAGAAATAAAATGATTAAGAATCAACAAAATAATTAGTATGGTACCCCTTAATAAATCTTAAACTAGATCTATTTACTTATTTGTACCTGCCCCCATTTGTCACTATTATTTTGTAAACTAATGAAAACAATAGTGCTTTAGCACTATTGGTAAACCCTTCTCATTCCCTCATACATAGGCCTCTCTTGGTCTATAAAAAACATTTAATGCACAAAGATAAGGTATTTTGTCTCATTTTTATTTATTTCTACCTGGCCAGAACCATGAAAGTCGTCCTTTTTGTATTATATATTATAAAAAATTTGTATAAATTTCTTATTAAATTTGACTTTTCAGTTACATTATTTACTGTAACAGTGATTAATTATCATAGGTGAATAACTTCTCTCACTATAATACAAATTAATAGAGCCCTGCCAGCATCAGAACACTTGGCCAAGTCGTCCACTTGACCTCTGACCCTGGGGCCACAATTTAAAAATATTTTTAGGATGCACCTTTGCTCATCATAATTATGCACTTAGTTTCTCTGCTAATATCCAGGAGCAGAAGAGAAACTTTCAAAGAATTAATGCATTTTTTACTAAATAATCAATAGAGCACCCCCCCCCCCCAACGCCCTCCCTCAACACCAGAACCCCCCGACCCTTGGGCAAAGAAAAAAAAAATTTGGAAGAGGCACCATTACACATGATAACCAGGTACTTGGTTTATCTGCTAAATATCCTGGAGAAGAGAAGAAAATATTCAAAGAATTTGTACATTTTTACTATATAAATAAATAGAGCCCCACCCGAACACTAAAACCCCTGACCCAAGTGTCATGAAATTCATTAATTTGGAAGAGGCACCATTGCTCATCATAACCATGCACTTTTTTAACTGCTTAATACCCAGGGGCAGATATAGAGATTTTGAAAGAATTTATGCATTTTCACTATTTAATCAAAAGAGCCTGACCCAAGGGCCATGAAATTCAAAATTTTGGAAAGGGCAACCTTGCTTATCATATCTATGCATTTAGTTTCTATGCTTAATACCTAGGAGCAGATAAAAAGATATTCAAAGAATTTATGCATTTTCACTATAAAATCAATAGCCCCCCTCCCCATTATGACATTGCGGTGAGGTGCTTCTTTTAGCTTTAGACACTCTGACATCTATACAATGAATAAAATATTTGGTGTTCTTTCAGTGGCTGTTATGATCTATAAAATTTCATTTTTCATAAAAAAGTGTAAATTTTTCAAATATTCAAATACAGTAAAACACGCTTACAGTGAACACAATATAAGGAATTGATGCTTATAGTGAAGTGATTTTCTTTCCCCTTGACTTTAAAAGATTTTGAACACTTTACGGATATAACAAATTATGCTTATAATGAAGCAAAATTGTCCATTTTTGGCACTTCGTTACATGTATAAGCATGTTTTACTGTACTGTATTAATCTGGATGCTGCCTTAACATACCCACATAAAACATTTTACCTGAAAAATCTCCATTCTCCCATCAATATCCATCTGAGTGTTTTTGTAGATTTCACTGTACACTCTGGCAGGAACGGGATCCATTTTGCCAAACATCTCTACCTTCTCTCTATGTTTCTTCTGAAGAAAATAGTACAATCATTCATTATAGGATTGCACACCTAAATGAATTATTTTGCTATATGAGAAATAAATGTATAAATGAATTGCACATTTTATGAAATAACCATAAGTCTCTGATGAGACTGTAGCTCTATTGGTTTGTACTTTTAACAAAGGAAGAGAAAAGTAGCACTGGGACTTGAAACTTTGCAACAGCAATACACAGAATAATGATCCTTGGTTTAGTCTCTTTTCGTGGCAAGATTTATTGCAATCAGACTAAAACTGTAGGAGGAGTAGCCTTTTAAAAGAATTTTACAGAAATTTTGATTTTAGTAATTTTGACAACATCAGTCATCAAAATCAAAAACCAATAAAGACAATTATGTATCTTGGTGTAGTCTACTTGTGTGCTAAGTTTTATTGAAATCAGACAAAAACTGTAGGAGGAGTAGTGTTTTGAATGCATTTCACAAAAATTTCTATTTTAGAAACCATGGCAACACCATTCATCAAAATTAAAAACTGATACTGAATGAGGAAGCTTAGTGAAATGTATTAGTATGCCAAGAAATATTGAAATCAAACCAAAACTTTAGGAGGAGTAGCGTTTTAAAAGTATTTCACAGATATTTCTATTTTTAGTAACAATAGCAACACAATAACTGAAAGAATTATCTATCTCAGTGCAATCTACACTAGTGTGCCAAGTCACATTGAAGTCAGACCAAAACTTTTTTTGAGATATGGCCCAAATTTCAAGAAGTTTACACACACCGCACAAATGGCCATAGCATTAGCTCTTTGAGCCTTTGGCTCAGAAGAGCTAAAAATCACCAATACCGAATAACCAAGTTTTGTGTGAACTTTTTATAAGCTCTGATTTCTTCAATATTCTCAACCCGTTTCACAAGCATTTTTACAAGAGTGGTCAACAATTGCCTCTACTGAAACTATGTGGAGCTGAAGGTTTGTTTGTTTTTATTCCATTGGAAAGGTATTGAATAGAGCTATTCAAGAGTATCATTGTCCATGAAATCATGCAAAGTGTTACATATTGAACATCCCTTATATTTATTATTTTATTTATTGTCTTTGTCTTGACCTATTATACAAGGAAACGGTAGGTTCAGGCTTTATAATAAAACAAAATACATGTACCTAGTAGAATTTGAACAGGAGGCCCAAGGGCTTTTCCAGTCACCTGAGTATATTTACATCCACTGAATATTATTTCCTTTATTTCTTATGAAAACCATTGCTGTTCATCATTCAGTAAATGACACTTAGCTAGCCACCTGCCATAGATTTCTTGAGCAAAGGCTGTTCCATTAATTATGCATACAATGACATACACATCTATAATACAATATTTAATATATTCAATTTTACTTTGAATGTATTTTTTTTTATGCAGATATAAATATAAACACAAAAAATGTTTTTCTTTCTTTGTTAGTATGGGAATAAACATTGCAGCTATTGCAGAACAAATTTACATAACCCGCTTACGTGGGTTATGTATTTTTTCTGCAACAGTGTGACATTAATTCCTGTACTAACAACCAAAGAAAACATTTTATTGTTTAAACAAGAGGCCCAAGGGCCTTAACGGTCACCTGAGTACAATACAACAATTCAGAGGATCCATACACTGATAAATGAAGCTTTGTTGCCCAAAAGCAAGAAAAATAGTATGATAAGCATCAACAAAATAATTGGTTTAGAATCTATCTGTCCCCCATTTATCACTATTACCATGCAGACTATTAACAAAATGTCTATTTTTAACCCCATATTATTACTTCTCACATTGGTCTCTCTTGGCCTTTGAAGAACATTAAAAAAGATAAGTTATTTTTGCCTCACTTTTATTCATCTATTATTTCCAAGTCTACCTGCTCATTAAAACTATGAAAGTACTTTTTGTATTATACAATAAATATTCTTGCATAATTCTCTTATTCTATTAACCTTTCAAATACATTATTTACAGTGATTAATTATCAAAGGTGAATGGCAAAGGGGAATAACTTTGCTCAGCAGAATACAAGTTCATAGAGCCCTGGCCAGGACCAGAATACTTGACTAAATAATCCAGGTGTTCAAAATTCTGGTAAAAATACCCTTGCATATTAAAACTTTTACTCTGTTTGCCTCGAATATGCCCAGAAGAATACAAGACTTTCAAAGAAATGCATGTTCACTATGTTACTAAATAAATAAAGCCCCCCTCCCCCTTTACACCAGAAAATCTTACCCAGGGACCATGAACTAATAATTCTGGAAGAAGCACTTTGCTCATCATAACTATACACTTGTTTCTTTGCTTTATTACCAGCAGTAGAAAAAAATATTTTGAAAGAAATTATGCATTTTCACTATAAAATCAATAGAGCCCCCCCCCCCCCCTCAAAAGAACCCCTGACCCAGGGGCCATGAATTTCACAATTTTGAAAGAGGCATTCTTTTTCATCATAACCATGCACTTCCTTTGTTTGAACAATACCAAGGAGCAGAGAAGAAGATTTCGAAAGAATTTATGCATTTTCCTTATATATCATTAGAGCACCGATCTAACACCAGAACCTTTCATCCAGGGGCCACAAAATTCACAATTTCTGAGGAGGCAGCCATGCTCATCATAACTATTGTACTTAGTTTATTCAATATTCAGGAGAGAGAAGATTTTCAAAGAAATAATGCATTTTCACTATATATATCAATTGATCCCCACCCTGACACCAGAACCCCTGACCCAGGGGCCATGAAATTCACAACTTTGGAAGAGGCAACCATGCTCATCATAACTATGCACTAAGTTAGTTTATTTAATACCCAGGAGTAGAGAAGAAGATTTTCAAAGAATTAATGCAAATAATCAATAGACCCCCCCCCCCCCATACCTGAACCCCTGACCCAGGGGCCATGAAATTCACAATTTCTGAAAAGGCAGTCATGCTCATCATATCTATGTTCTTAGTTAGTTTATTTAATATCCAGGAGCAGAGAAGAAGATTTTCAAAGAATTAATGCATTTTCACTATATAGTCAATAGAGCCCCCCCCCCCCCCCTTACACCAGAACCCCTGACCCTGGGGCCATGAAATTCACAATTTCGGAAGAGGCACTCTTGCTCATCATAACTATGTACTTAGTTACTTTATTTAATACCAAGGAGCAGAGAAGAAGATTTTCAAAGAATTAATGCATTTTCACTATATAGTCAATACAGCCCCCCCCTTAACACCAGAACCCCTGACCCTGGAGCCATGAAATTCATAATTTTGGAAGAGGCACTCTTGCTCATCTTAACTATGTACTTTGTTACTTTATTTAATACCCAGAAGCAGAGAAGAAGATTTTAAAAGAATTAATGCATTTTCATTATATAATCAATAGAGCCCCACCCTAACATCAGAACCCCTGACCCTGGGGCCATGAAATTCATAATTTTGGAAAAGGCACTCTTGCTCATCATAACTTTATACTTGGTTTGTTTTTTTAATACCCAGGAACAGAGAAGAAGATTTTCAAAGAATTAATGCATTTTCACTATATAATCAATAGAGCCCCGCCCTAACACCAGAACCCCTGACCCTGGGGCCATGAAATTCACAATTTCAAAAGAGGCATTCTTGCTCTTCATAACTATGTACTTAGTTAGTTTATTTGATACCCAGGAGCAGAGAAGAAGATTTTCAAAGAATTGATGCACTTTCACTATGTGATCTATATAGCCCCACCCTAGCACTAGAACCCCTGACCCTGGGGCCAAGAATTTCACAATTTTGGTAGAGGGCTCAATGCTTATTACAATGATGCCAACAGTTTGACAGCTTGACGTCCAGGAATAAAGAAGAAGATTTTTAAAGATTGCATTAATTTTGGTGGTTTTAGCCCCACCCCTCAGGCCCCAGGGGGGCAGGGACCATGAAATTCACAATTTTTGTTCCCCTTCACCCATAGATGCTATATGCCAAATTTGGTTGAAATTGGTTGAGTGGTTTCAGAGAAGAAGCTGAAAATGTTCAAAAGTTAACGCACGAAGCACGACGGACAACGCACGACGACAGACAAAAACGGATAGCAATAGGTCACCTGAGTGACTCAGGTGACCTAATAAACTGAGAGATGAAGATATGTTGCCCAAAAACAAGAGAAATAGGATAATCAGAGGTAAAAAAAAATAGTTACTCTAGTAACAAATCACACAGCAGATATATTTACTTGCCTGCTAATACATTCCCATTTGTCACTATCACCAGGATTAAACAAAACAAGAGGCCCAATGGGCCACAACAATCACCTGAGAAACTTTGGCCCTGTTGATCTTCAACAGATTTCTGCATTGTAATACTCAGTGTGGTCATGGTTTGAACAATTTAGAATCTACACTACTCCAGGATGCTTTCACCCAAGTTTGAGCCTTTCTGGCCAGGTGGTTCTTGAGGAGGAGATTTTTCCTATAAATTTCAATGTAAAACAGACTCCTTATTGTGGCCTCACCCTGTCCCAAGGGATCATGATTTGAATAATTTAGATCCTACACTACTCGAGGATGCTTTTTTCTAAGTTTCAGCTTTTCTGGCCCTGTGGTTGTTGAGAAAAAAGATTTGTAACAATTTTTCCTATATATCTTGATGTAAAACTTGGAATTCAGTATTGTGGCCCCACCCTACCCCTGGGGGGTCATGATTTGACCAATTAAGAATCTACACTACCCCAGGATGCTTTCAAATAAGATTCCCTTTTTTGGCATGGTGGTTTTTGAGAAGAATTTTTAATGAGCCCACCCTATATTTGTCTTTTCTTGATTATCTCCCCTTGTTAGGGGGCTTGGCACTTTATAATTTAATTTTCCCTTCACCCAAGGATGCTTTGTGTCAATTTTGGTTAAAATTGGCCCAGTGGTTCTTGAAGAGAAGTTGAAAATGTGAAAAGTTTACAGGCGGACGGACAGACGGATGGATGGATGACGGACAACAGGTGATCAAAAAAGCTCACTTGAGCTTTCA